CAAGCATGCCTGTCCTCAAAGTGAAGCAGACCACATCAGGAGCAACCTAGGAACAAACATCCCCAGCATGTTCATTTAGACACCCCCCCCCCCCCCCCCCCCCCCCCCGTTTTTGTTGCTGCTGTTGTTTTGGAGACAGGACCTCATCATGCAGACCAGGCGGGCTTCAAACTTGACATCCTCTGGCCTCAGCCTCTTGAGGGCTGGCACCACAAGCTTGTACCATCCAGCTCACTTTCCAAGGGTATTTCTGAGCAGGGAAATGAAGGGTTATGACGGAGACCACAGAAGGCAGCTTCCTTACCTTTGGCGTGGGGGTTCTCCACTAGCTCCCTCGTTCTATACACAGAGTTAAGCCTCACTGCCACTTCCCACTTAGAGCCATGCAAACTGGGAATGTCGCTGAGTGGCAGTGCCCACCTAGCATGCAAGGGGCACAGGATTCAGTGCCCAGCACTGGGTTTAAACAGAGTTGGAGGAAGGGCGGATAAGAAGGGAGACACAGGGAGACTGAGAAACAATGCTCCAGGAGTAAGGAGGGACTTCCCAGACACGTCACTGTAACACTTCTGGCTGGTTCTGAAGACTGAACGAAGAGCTGTACCAATGGGCTCCATTCTCTGACTTCAGTGTGTTATATACTTTTGGAGACAGGATCTTACGCCTCCCAGGCCGGCCTCAAGTTCTAAGTATTTCCTGAAGTATGATAACCACTACTTAAGAGGCTACGGAAGCCCTGGAGTTCTGAGGCAGAGGTAACCCTAACAGGTGGCTGCCAGTCCCCCTTCTTCCTCCTCTTTCCAAGGCACCAGGACAACGGCCTTCCTTCTCTTCCTGCAGCCTTTCTTCTCCAGGACACCTCAAACTTCTAAGGAGCAGCTGGGCCTAAAGATAAAGCCGAGCGAAGGCAGAGCCAGGCGGATCTCTGTGAGTTCGAGGCCAGCCTGGGCTACAGAGTGAGTTCCAGAACAGGCTCCAAAGCTACACAGAGAAACCCTGTCTCGAAAAACCAAAAAAAAAAAAAAAAAAAAAAAAAAAAAAAAAAAAAAAAAAAAAAATTTGCAAATGTCCATGCACCGATTTTGATTCTGGAGCCGTGGTTATTAAGATTCCCAGCCTGTATTTAAATTTACCATTGAATACTACAGGAAAATGATACCTCAGATCTCCATAAGGAAAAGCATTTACTCTGTAGAAGCTTGATAATTACAAGCTCTTCTATTTCTTCTTTCTCATAAACAGCTTACTCACATAGCTGAGGGGCCTACTAAATAAAGCTGCCTTCTCAACTGAGCTGCTATTTGCCTTTAAAATTGAACCAAGGAAAAAAGCACCGTGTTCCAGTGGTGGAGAACACTGACTGGTACAGCCAACTCTTCACGAACCGAGGAGGAGGATCTGGAGAACAGCATTTCCAAGCCCACAGACGAGTCTGCGCACAGTAACTGTGGCAACCGCTGCCGCCTCATTGCGGGATGCTGTCTTGGCTTTAGAGAGGAAAGCTGCTAAGATCACCCCCAAGGCTCCCCTTTAAGTCCATCCAATACAGTAAGTGATAACTGGGAGGGGCTGTGCCCAGCCCCTGAGTACATCCAATTGCAGGATGCAAGTTAGATTCTGAATGTGTTGGGGGACTTAACTATGGCTCCTCACAAGAGGTGGAGTAGCTTTCAGCTCCTTCAAGGCCTTTGGAACAAGTCTGGGGCGTTTAGGGACAATGTGCTTGCTCGGCCCATGCCTGTAATCCTTGCATTTTGTAGGTAAAGTAAGAATAATCAGGAATTTGAGGTTATCTGCAGCCACATTAAGAAAGTTCAAGATCAGCCTGACACGAGACCCTTTCTCACAAAGGAAAAAAATCTGCTTAATACAAGCAAGGGTCTAGGTTTAATCCTACGAGAGAAAAGGGGAGGGGGAGGGGCTAGAGACAGCTCAGGAGCCACAAGTACAGCTGCTCTTCCAGGATCTTCCAGGGCCAGGCGGGTTAACACCACAACCATCCCTAACTCAGCCCCAGGGTCTGATGCCCTCTTCTGGTCTCCTCAGGTACTCCCACACACGTGGCATTTAAAAAAAAAAAAAACCACACACACAAAGATTTAAAAACAAATATTTTAAAAGTGAGGAGCAAGGAATAAAGGAACTTAGGGTCTTGTTATTTCTCTTCAATAATATGGAACCTGTTACCACCATTCAATTGACTAATTCAATAATCTGAGTTCTTAAAAATCAAATGTTGTTTCTAAGATACTTTGGAAAACACTGCCCAGTCTGGAAAATGTTTCTTCTCTCAGCCTTCTTTAATTTCCTTTCCTTTTTTCTGCTTTTCCTCACAAAATGTTTCATATCCAACCCTTTCAACCCTAGCCATATTTTCAAAGTCCGGCTCAAGCTCCTGCCACCTTCTGAGTCCTCGAAGTATCAAGGACTTGTCATTACTGTGCAAGGAACTCTGTCCCTACTCTTCTGACTCTACAAATTTAGCCATGAGGATAAAAGGTGTTTCACTTAATTAAACAAATCTTAGTGAGAACCCGCTCCCTTAAGGATTATCACTTACTGTACACACACAGTACTGGAACTCATTACTGGCAGCCCAGGCTGGCCTTGAATTCAAGAACTGCTCCAGGACAAGCAGCACCTTTAGTCCCAACACATGGATGCAGAGTTCCAGGACAGTAAAAGCTACATTGAGACCCTGTCTCAAAAACAAAAACAAAAAAGAAATGCTCCTGCCTGAGTCCCATGTCTACTTCAATCTCACCTGTTTGAAAATTACTTTGTTGGATATGTGTGTGTAGGCACGTGTGGATGCCAGAGGACAGACACCCTGAAGGAGTTAGTCCTCTTCTTCCATCATGTGGATCCCTGGAATTGAACTTGGGTCTTCGGGCTTGGTGGGTGGCAAGCACCTTTACCATCTGGGCCATCTCCTTGGCCCCAAATCTCACCTCTTCATGGAAAGAAAGCTCTTCTGAATAGCCTAAAGCTTAGACTCTTCAGTATTACGTATTACAGAATCTCACCTGTGGTGAGTGACATTGTGTAAGATCTTGAATGAGCAGTGAATCAGCCACTGTATCCTCCCCTAGAAAGGAAAGCTACAAGACGCAGGAAAGCTGACTACACCCTGCACTGTCTAAAATAGGTTAAGTACCACAAAACCCTACAAGTTCGTTCTCTGTTGCCAGAGATTGAACTTAGGGCCTGGTGCACACTCCACCACTGCCCTACCCCTATCCCATGTTCCCTTTTACCTGTGGGTAAAGACACATAAAACCGAGGGATGTCCAACCCCCCCCAACACAGACACACACAGACACACACACACACACACAGACACACACACACACACACACACACACACACACACACACACACACAGACACACACACACACACACACACACACACACGGTTTCTCTGTGTATCCCTGGCTCTCCTGAAACTCACTCTGTAGACCAGGCTGGCCTCCCCTGCCTTTACCTGCTGACTAAAGGTGTGCATTAGACATCTGTCAGGAGCCTCACACTGCAAATACTCTTTAACTACTGCCTCCACTATCCCAGCTGTACTTGATCTATATTACACAACTACCTGTATTCACAAGATGTGCTTAAGGGCAAATAATGGTTTCTGAAGGAGCTGGAGGGGGATTTAAAATTGGAGCTGGTATCAGACCTTCCTACCCTCAAACCCAGCGATGTTCCTCCTGAAAACAACCAATAGGAAAACAACAAAAACCAGTTATTGGTACTATCCATCCCGACAGTTAGTTCATGATGTGCCAAATCTCTAAAGACCCAGAGGTGTGGCTCTGGATTTTCAAAAGTTCACCATTTCTAAAGCAACACCGACTCTCTAGTGACCAGTTTCACGCTCTAATTTTTACTTTTGTGCTGGAGTGGGAGGGCACTCCAAATCCTGATCCTCCCGCTGAGTGCTAGGATTACAGGTGTATGCCACCACACCCATTTTAACACCTCAATTTTAAAAAGCATCACAGTCTAAATGTCTGCCAATAATGTGATTATGGTTTAAGGTTTTGACTTCAATCAACCGGGCGGTGGTGGCAGCCCTCCTTTTAACCCATTGCTAGGGAGGCAGAGGCAGGCACATCTCTGGAAGTTCGAGCCCAGCCTGGTCTACATAATTCAGTTCAAGGACAGCCAGAGCCACATGTCAAGAACCTGTCTTGAAAAAAAACAAGAAAGCCTCAATGAACTTATATTTTCTAGTGTGGAATCTGTCCTTTAATCCAAAACTCTACCAAAATGTACCCTAGTAAAATATAAGAATGGTTATACAAATGTGTTGGACAGCAATAACCTAGTTTGAGGTAACAACCAAATCACACTTTCTAGAAAAGTATTACAAAATAATTGCTAGTTTTGAAGGACGGACTACATGAAATAACTGCTTTGATATGAGGGACAAACTATTAATTTAAAAACCATACTTAATTTGTATGTAGTTCGTGGCCGTCGCAATCTGTCCTTAGGCAGAAAGAGGACACTCAAAACACAAGGGTGATGTAGAGGACTGACCCTTGGTGAAAGGCTGATTTACAATGTCTTCCCCCAGGAATTTAAGAGTCGAAGTGGAAGCACCCCCAACCCCCTGCCAAAAAAAAAAAAAACAAAAAAACCCCAAAACGTAAAGAGAGTCAACATGTACTAACGCGGCTTGAGGGAGATTCAGAGCCCCTAGGCCCTGCAAACCCACGATCAAGCGTCATTTTTAGATTTTTTTTCTTCTCCCCCCATAAAGATATCCACAAAGCAGTCCGGGCAACCTAAGCGTAAGCGCCCTGCATCCGGGGTGGGTACCACGAAGCAAAACGTGTGACCACTGGGGGGTGGTGGTGGTGGGGTGTCACTGTGGCCTCCCGGGCTTCAGGATGATCAGATGCGAAAACCGAAGCCGCTCCCCCCACCCCGCCGCCCCGGCCCCCACCCCACCCCGCCGCCGGCCGCCCATTCATTCGGCGCTCGCACTCACCTGTTCGGGGACGCGACCTCGCGGCGCCCGAGGCCGCCGCCGCCTGCAGTCGCGGGGACGCGGGCCGGGGCCGGAGCGCGGGCGGCGGGGCGAGCGTGCGGCGCGGGCCGGGCGCGAGCGTGCGGCGCAGGCCGGGGGCGTCCCTGAGCAGCAGGGCCGAGCAGAGCCGCCGCGGGCTCTGATACATGCCGGGCGCCGCCGCCTCCTCCTCCGCCGCCGCCGCCGCCGCTGCTGACGAGCCGGGCCGAGCGCAGCGGGAACGGTGGGGTGGGGTGCGGAGGGCGCGCGGGAGCCGGGGGTCGCTGCGGCGCTCCTGCCTCCCCGTCCCTGGGTGCGCGGAGCGGAGCGGGCGAGCGGAGCCGGGAGGCGGCGGCGGCGGCGGCGGCGGCGGCGGCGGCTTCACTGAGGCGCGCGGGCCGAGAGCCGCCGGGCAAACCGGCCAGCGGCGGCGGGGCGGGCGCTACCACGCGGCGGGCTGCGGGGGGTTCCGCGGCGCACGAGCCGGGCGCAGCCGGGTGGGGACGGCTCCTGCCGGGGATCGAGCCGCGGGACCGAGGGAGAGAGAGAGGAAAAGAGACAGCGGATCGGTGCCGAGCTGGAGAAGGCGGGACGGCTGAGGTCACGGGAATCGGTTCGAGAGGCGGAGCCGGCGCGCCCCTCCCGCTGGCTGCAATGGGAGCGTCCGCAGGCAGGGAATCCCGGGTTGGTTCCCGGGGCTGAGGGTGTGCGAGCGCGTTTTTGGTGAGAACGTCCGGCGGGCGAAGGCTGTCGACCGCACGCTCCCCAAAGCAGGCATGTAAATTAGTCACCGAGTCACCGTAAAGCGCTTGCATCCTGACTTCGGTGGCGGCTGCCGAGAGCATCCTAAGGCGCGAGATGCAGACGCTGGCGGCGGGCGTCAGTCCACGAGGCTGCCAAGAAGTCTGCTAGAATCGGGTATTGGAGATGAGCCATGATTGGAGGGCTGGAATTCACACCTAGGGAAACAGCTCCTTCGTTAGGGGAAATGAAGGCTAGGGAATTAGGAAGAAACTGCTTGGGCTGGTGCATTCCGAAGACAGATTCGACCAGATGAGTGTTAACCGAATTTAGAGGGGTCACAACCCGTGTCCCAAGCCAGGGCGGCTCACCCATCCAGTGAACCACTGAAAAAAGTGGAAAGCAGTGTGTGGTGGTGGGCACATGCCTTTAATCCCAGCACTCTGGAGGCAGAGGCAGGAGGATCTCCAGCATGGTCTACATAGAGAGTTCCAGGCCCGCTAGCTAGAGCCCCCAGTGAAGCTCGGTCTCAAAAAATAAAAGCAAACGAAAAATGGTGAAAAGGAGAAAAAGGAGATTTACTTAATGTGGCCACATTGGGAAGAGGGACAAAGAGACAATTAACTCTAGCGAGTCTTCTTCTGTCTCATAACAACACAGAGACTTATTAATTATGAAAGTTTGGCCTTAGCTTAGGCTTGTCCCAATAGTTCCTATAACTTAAATTAACTTTTTTAAAAAATTAATCTATGTTCTACCATGTGACTTTTATCTCTCTCCCATTTTGTACCGCCTGTTTCCATGTCTGGCTGGCAACCCCACCTTTCTTTTTCCCAGACTCCTGTCCCCAGAAGTCCCGCCTAGCCTTTTCGTGCCTAGCTATTGGCCATTGGGTTCTTTATTAAGCCAATCACAGTGACACATCTCACACAGTGTGCTGGTAACCCACAACAGTTAAGCTCGTCAGAAGAGGCTCTCTGGGGTTTTGAAGTGAGATTCAAGTTTAAATAGAGGGGTACGCACATCTAAGCAGTCCAGGTCAAGGTGTGGTCCTGCCCACCATTCACCCAGATTGGGCTTCAGTCCTGTAGGGTGACCTGACTAGATAGAACTGTATGAAATCTCTATCTGGAAGACAAATTCCTCCTCAAGTTGAGGCCTTTCCCTTTTCCCATCAGGAGTTTCCTGCAGGAAATTCCCATTTCTTTGCGGGGAGGGCGTCTGTTGTTTCAATAGTCTAAGAGTCAGATTCACACACACACACCTCTCTAGAATACCCTTATTTCTGCCAGGTCTGTTGAAAGGGTGCAAGGATACAGTCAGAGCTGTGTTTTAATTGGATAGCCTGTGATTCAGGAAAAGGCAGGGAAGGACTGGGGGTGTTCCTCAGTGATAGGGCACTTACAGAGCACATGAGGGACCCTGGGTACACTCTCCAGTACCTAAGAGAGAGTGGGAAGAGACGGGAAGGGAGAGGAGAAGGGGGGGGGGCAGGAGAGAGAATAGAGAGGACTGTTAACTTCAAAAGAATGAGTTGAAGAAACGTCTCAGGTAGATTGTGTAAGGAATGAATAACCGGGGATGGGAAGGAAACCTTGGAGGAGTATCATCACCAAGGATTCAAAATGTTTTTCAGACCTGGATTATAAATCTAACACCCACGTACTGTGGATGAATCAGCTGACAAGCTGATGACGACACCTGGGAGAGGAACACCTTGGCTGGTCATAGAATCTGAGTAGGTGTTCTTGTCTATACAGCGATCATTCCTGAGTCATTAGGTGAGGCAAAGGGCAATGTAAAAGGTAGCGAATGTTTTGCAGATATAACAAAATGTAACAAAACTGTTGGCTTGCAGTTTAGGTAATGGATATTTAAGTGTTGACACCCTTCCCTCCCCCAGCCCTCTCTCCCTCCCTCCCTTACTCCCACAAGCAAAGTTTATTTATTTATTTTTTTAATAGGCAAGAAAATGAAAGCATAGTGGAGGGAACAGAGAGGGTCAACCAACCAAAACTAGTAATGAATGAAAGAACCAAAGGAAATTAGATACTTGATGAGCTAATTAACAACGTTTTAAAAGAAATTTGAGGGGAATTATCCTGTGTGGGTAGATAAAGCTGCCCCCACAGCCATAGGTTATCAGAACTTCCAGTGCCAGCCGTGAACTACTGTACACATTGCTGGCTAGAGAGGCTCCTGAAACCACTAAAACAGTCCGAGCTATTGCCACTGCTATTGGTTGCCTACCAGAAATCATCCTCTTCTGGAATAATCCTCTTGTACACTGTAAAGATTTGTCACTCAAATTGGTTTAATAAAATGCTGATTGGCCAGTAGCCTGGCAGGAAGTATAGGTGGGGTGACCAAACTAAGCATGATGGGAAAGAGAAAGGTGGGTGGAGTCAGAGGGTCACCAGCCAGATGCAGAGGGAGCAGGAGATGAACGTGCCATGCTAATAAAGGTATTGCCACCACCATGTGGCAGGACGTAAATAAGGAATATGAGTTAACTTAAAATGTAAGAGCTAGTTAGTCACAAGCCCAAGCTATTGGCCAAGCATTTATAATTAATATAAGCCTCTGTGTGGTAATTTGGGAAGTGGTTGCCCGGTATTTGGGAACAGGCAGTGGGGACAGGAAATGTCTGTTTATAGTAAGACCCTTAAGTCATCACATATGTTGGTCACAGAACATGGAGAAATCCAATTGGAACTGGCCTGGAAGCTTCCTCTCAGTTAGCCCTCACAAGGCATTATGCTGCTGGGGGAGGATTGTCATCAACAGCCTGACTCAGCCATGGACCCTGTGTGCAACAGTACCAGGGAACAGCCTCTTGGTGCAGTCCTGCCTGCTCTATTACGGGGTAGCCAACCATGTTCTCATTAGTTGAGGCCTGCTCTGTTACGGGGTAGCCAACCACGTTCTCATTAGTTGAGGCCTGCTCTGTAGGAGGAAATTTACTTCTGGTATTGTAAACTGTCAGGGACAAGGATAGAATCTCTAGTTAATGGAAAAATACAGACCCCCATAAGACAGGGAACTAGATCATCCTACAGTCAGGTTGCCTAGCAACAGGACATTGAGTCAGAGCCCTTGACCCTTTCACCCTGTGGACATCCTATACAAACATCCTGTTAGCTTGCCCCACCTTATGCAGATGACAGCTTCTTGCTCCCCCCACCCTGCAGGAACTATATAAACCCTCTTGGAGAAAAATAAAGTGGCACCTTGATCAGAATCTGGGCTTGTTGTATTTCCTTTGTATCTTCTGTCCCTACATTCCCTCCTTAGGGCGATCGAGAACCCGTTGTAGCCCTGCAGGCGGGGGAAATCCTAGTCAAAAGCCTGAGGTAGGAGAGGCCATAGACCTTAGTAGGAAAGCTACTTCTGCTGTTTTGATAAGTGGACACGATGTGCCTTTCAAATTGCCTTCTAAATGACTGTGTTCCTGCCCGTTACGGCTGCCGTCAGCTTTGGTTGAGAAGGTTCTTTTGGCAGTAGTCAGCGGTGAGTGCAGAGACTCACAGCTAGTCAAAGTACAGAGAAGGCTTGCCCAGTCATAAACAGGACATCTGTGTCATCCACCCCCTCCCAGGTTCAGGGAACATTGCAGAAGATGATAGAAAGCAAGGGGAGCAGGACACGATGGGGAATGCCTTTAATCCCCACACGGAGGCCGGCCGGGTCTACAAATCAAGTTCCAGGACAGCCAGGGCTTTAGACAGAGAAACTCTGTCTCAAAAACAACAAAACAAAACAAAACAAAAACCAAAAAAACAAAAACAAAAAAAAAACAAAACAAAAGAGAAAAAGCAACAGGAAAGGGGAGGGGCATGTGGACCGCTCCTTAAATAGTTGTTGCATTTGGGAACTGACATTTGCAGAAGACAGGGCCAGTCGAACACTGTCATGGAGGGAGCAGGGACTTTGGGGCCCCGCTCCTCCTTTAGGATTGATAGGCAGTTAGTTGTTAGTGGGGGAGGGGGAGACATTTTCTTCAGAGGCATAGCTTCTGGTAACAAACTCTCACTACTGTAAACACCCTACTGAAACTCGGTGGAACGCACAGTCACACGGACGGGAAAGTAGCAGGACTGAGGGAAGGCCTCTTAGGAAGCAGGCAGACAACAGAGGGTCACAGAAGAGTGTGTGGATATGGTGGAATACATTAAGCACATGTATTAAAATATCATAGCCGGGTGGTGGTGCACACCTTTAATCCCAGCACTCAGGAGGCAGAGGCAGGTGGATCTCTGTGAGTTTGAGGCCAGCCTTGTCTACACAGGTCAGCTAAGGCTACACAAAGAAACCCTGCCTCAAACAAACATATATATGCATATAGATGTATATAGATGATATATGATATGAGTAATATATGGTAATAAAAGCGGCTTTTAAAAGGAAGGAAAACTTGTATGGCGAATGCAGCCTCCAGAGTGAAGAGAGACTAAGCTGAGTGGCAGCTGCCTAGACTTTCCTTTCCCACGGGTTTGTAATTGTTCATAATTAAATATTGGGGGAAGAATGCTCTGAAAAACGAGTATTGTTGAAACATAAACAAGACCCTGGGCATCACACACCAAAATATGCATAGTGAGAACGGAGGTTCCTGGAG